ACTTCAGTGAGGGTGAGGTGATCTTTAGGGTGCCACTTCCTGTGGCCCCCTGGCTGAAGGTGGAGGAGGCAGGTGTAACTGAAGTTCTTCTGGAGGAGTTTGTCATGAAGCCTCTACTGGCCTTGAATTCTGTGAGTCCTACAGCAGAACTCTACCGGCTGAAGAGGAAGATAATGGACAGTCCCGTTAACTGTGAGTTATTGGGTGTTTCAGAGTCTTCAGGGTGCCTCGTGTGCCTTCATGTCTAACACATGTTTTCCAGCTCTTGACCACTAATTGAGTTAATGTAGACCCCTGAGATTTTCCTACTATTCATAAGACAGAAAATGTAAAGTTCAGCCATCTTTTACTCACCCCCATATCCTTTCAAACTTGTATGACAAAATATTTATTTATTTTTTTGTCTATAATGAAAGTCAGTGGGGACTAGTGTTATTTGTACCCCAATGTTCTTCTGTGTTCAGCAGAAGAAAGAAATTCATAGAGGTTTGAAACATGAGTAAATGATGACAACATTTCATGGGAAACAAATGGTAATTATTCTCCATATGTCCATGTACTCACATCTGTGTTTGTACTTTATTTCCTCTGTCCAGATCAGGCATTTCTAGTGGCAGACGTCTATTTGGTGTCATTCGATGGACATCTGTTCAAACTCCCAGCTTCCTGTGACTTCCTCCTAGCAGCCGATGTCATCCAGCACACCTTCAGCATTGCGCTCAAATCCGACAGGTTCAAACGTCGCTCGCTTGTGGTGCAAATGCAAAACACAAAGATTGCAATTCACCCAAATGGAGAGGTGCATGTACCTGTTATTATGATGTCTAATATTGGTTTCATAGCTGATTTAGAAACTTCACATGATGTGATTAAATGGAGTAATACAAAAAATGTTGATTTTAGGTGGAGGTTAATTGCCACGTTGCACATATTCCATACACTAACCGTGAAGTGGCTATCAGAAAGGATGTGAATTTAATTGAGGTGTCCAATGAGAGAGGACTTCAGGTATCATGTGACCCTCATCTAGACGTTTGTAGTGTGATCCTAGATGGATGGCTTCATGGTAAGTTCATTAGCTTTGTTTACTTCATTACTTTATTTTTCGCAATAAAATGTTGCCTATCATTTAAATGGTAGTACGTATACAGTATGTAAGGATTTTTCATGTTTTTGAAAGTCTCTTATGCTCACCAAGGATGCATTTATTTGATCAAAAATACAGTAAAAACAGTAATATTGCCAAATGTACAATTTATTACAACATACTACAATTTAAAATAACTGTTAACTATTTTAATGTTAATGATTGCAAAGTATTCAATGAACAAAGTTAGAAATAAGTGTTTATTTAAAGCAAAAAATCTTTTGTAAATGTAAATCTACAGTAATTATTGATCAATTTAATGCATCCTTGCTGAATAAAAGTATTATTTCTATATAAAAATGAACAAAAATCATGGTGACCCCAAATTTTTGAACAGTATAGTGCATTGTAATATACTGTAGTATATGAATATATAGTATATTATAATAACTTTTGAATATGTCTTATGTTGTTACTGATTCAAGTACATCATTTGCAAAGCTTCATGGTTTAAATAGCTAACTCCTTCATAAAAGACAAAATGCATAGACTTTTTTCCCGTTTCTCAAAAAAATGTTTTGCTTTGAATCAGATGCTGTAATGTTATGATTCATCTCTGAGCTGGCAGGTTTAGTTCAAGACCTAGAACTAGAACTTTTTTTAAAAAATGAAAAATTATTTTGACGCAAGGTCTCTGAAAAAGTGTCACTATGATGTAACGTGATGAGTTAATGGATTTAATGACGTTTAAAACCACTGCTGCCTACAAAAAGTTCAACTCTCTGAGGTGAATCATTCTAAAATGCGTCATGGTTTAACATGGTTTATTTTAATACACTGTTTTTCAGGTGTGTCCACTGGTCTTTTAGGAACCAATGATAATGAGGCAGCTAACGAGCTTCCTCTGCCAGATGGCTCTCACACACACAGTGTGCTTCAGTTTACTCACAGCTGGCAGGTAGTGAGAGAAACCTGTGAGAAATGCACACCTGTTCAGCATATGATACCACAGCCGGGCACAAACCACAGCACTGTTTCTATTATTTTGCATGCACTGTGCATGCTTTTTTTCATGTAATAATGTATCATAAAACAGAATGTATAAAGACTTAAAGCTATAGTTAGGCCATTCCTACAGTTTGGTGGATTTTATGTCCCCATGAAACAATAATGCATATTTTACATAAAAATATTAATCAACTTTCATGCCACCAAATTTTTTTAATTACTTTGTCTCTCAAACTACAGTCGACCCTGCTACTTTAGTGCTACTTACCCTTTAAATTTTTGAGCATGTCCCCTTAATCACGTGACTTTTCTTGAAGGGAAACAATGCCATGTAACAGGGTGGACAAATTTCCTAGATCACATATGAAACATTTAAAATATATTTTAAAAAAAGTATTATAGTAGCCTGAGCTTGCCCAAAGTGTGTTTTTCTGATATACAGACATTTTTCTCCATCTGATGAGACCAAAATAATAATTGATTTTTTTACAATTTCTTTTTCAACAAATCTGTTCAGTCCAAAATCTACCAAACTTTAGGAATGAGCCAGTCAACTCATGTCATCGGAACCTGATTGTTTTCAGAATCAAACTTCCTTTCTTCCATTGAACAAAAATGTGAAACTGAAGAATGTTCACACTGCTCTTTTCCATTATTTAAAGCATACTGTATAGTGACCAGTGCTGAGTTCCAAAAAGGACAAAAAGAATAGTGTCAACATTCATCAAAACATCTCTTTTTGTGTTCTGTGAGAGAGAAGAATGTAATGCGATTGAATAAATAAAGACGGTTCCATTGCAAGGACTGTGTGGATCTAATGTAATATTTTCATGCTGTTTACTGTAGGTGGATTCAGAATGTGTCAGCAGGAAAGCTGAAGTCTGTCAGAATGGCACTGCTGACTCCCTGTCGTGCACATTTCTGTTCTCCTCCACAAATTCTCCTCTGAGCCCCTGTTTCAGAGTGGTAACTACTGTACTCGGTTTCCTCTCACTCAGCGACATGTGCTAACTATTACAAGCCAGTGTGTATATAAAGATCTCTTTGATTAGATTGATCAAAAAGACATCCACTCCTTGGGGGGGGAAAAAAGGAGAATGAAAGAATGCAATAGTAAACAACACAATGAACTTCAGATGAAGAATTCTTATTTTTATTTTTACTTTGCGTTTATAAGCATTCGTTTTTTCGGATGAAGCATTTTCTGTCTTTTTTTTAAGGTGGACCCTGCGCAGTTCATGATGAAGTGTGTATGTGATGAGCGCGCAGATGTTTCCAGACCATCCTTTTGCACATTGGCCTCTGCCTATATCCATCAATGCCATAGAAACTACGTTCCACTGGAGCTGCCAGTGCAGTGCGGTCAGTATTTCTGCAAATGCAGTGAAATCAATAACCATATTTTAAATAGATCACCACTAGGACTGCACAGTTTGGTAAAAAAAACTAAAAAATGAAATAAATAAAAAAATGTTTTAGCCTGTAATGTTGCGATTAGCCTGTCAAATATTGTGGTTTTAATTTGATCAGCAACAAGGCAAGCATTTAACATCGCATATTGCCTGGATATTTAAAAAGAAATAAAAATCACAGTGAAATAGCAGGTCTCATGTTAAACAGAATACGCAAAAATGATTTTGTGAATGATCAAGTAATGTAATATTTTTCCCACATCCTTTTGTTTATCAGTAGTTACTCTTCACACTTTAATCCTCTATGAAAGAGACAAACTCTGATGAAAAGGGCTGACCCAAAACTGAACTGAATGAAAAACAATACAAAAACTGGATTATATCTGGATCATTTTGGTCCACTAAGTTCACTTTTCATTCACACTGTGTTTGAACTCAGTCATATTGAATAATACATTACCACATAATACATTATTATTATTATTATTATATACAATAATGTTTGCAAATGTGAACCT